AAAAAAGACGAAATTGTAAAGAAATGAACTTGAAGACTAGATTATTCGCCAAACCATATTCTGTGCCTATTTGCCTACCAACCCTCATCGACCACGTAGTATTTCAATAATAGAAAAGTTTAACTTTTTTTGACAAACTTTTTTTTTATTCGCACGCGCGCATCAGTTTTGGGGCTCCCGGAGGATGTCATCCATATAATCGAATCAACATGGCCTAATGACAAGGAAACAACAGAGAAACTAGAAAGGTAATATTTGCAAAGCAAATGCATAATGTTTACCTTCGCATATGGTCTGCTCTGTTAATTCTTACTCAAATACATTCATATAGGAGTATAAATCCCTCCTATTGATAAAATTGCAACATCACGTAATCCATGTAACCCAACATCCGTTACCATGGTGACAGACGTCAACAAATCAGGTCATTGGCCAGGTCAGAGGTCAGTATTTGGAACGGAAGAAGAAGAGGGAATGTAGCAAAAACAATATGTTTTCCTTCGTTAAACGAAATAATTGTCTTTTTCGTCACCACTTCTCCCTCAGGTCGCCATTCACGTTCAAATGCGGTCCGAACTACGCCCTAACTACGATCAGGAGCACGTACTGCAGCGCCCCTGGCGATCGGGCCTGGAAGTACAGCTGCACGTACATGGGGCTGGGGCATCAGGAGTGCTACTGGTCTCCGTTTGTGAACGACGTTGGCTCGGTCCTCTTTTACCAGTGTCCCTTTAACAGCATCGTCACCGGCTTCTACAGGTGGGAAACCTCAATTTATTTTTACCTCCATGAAAAATGGAGGTATTGTTTTTGCCGTGTCTGTGTATGTGTGTGTGTGTGTGTGTGTGTGTGTGTGTGTGTGTGTGTTCTGTGTGTGTGTGTGTGTGTGTGTGTGTGTGTGTGTCTGTGCGTGTGTGTGTGTGTGTGTGTCTGTGCGTTTGTGTTTCCGCACATTTGTAGCCAGCATAACTTTTGAACCTTTGGATGGATTGTAATGATATTGAGTAGGGTGTTGGGTAGGCAAAGGTCAAGGTCAATTTTGGGCCTCCTTGGGCTAAGAGATGTTGGACAAAAAAGCATATTTTGTGTGTGGGGTCGTGTGGCGTAGCGGCTGAGTGCTCGACTCGGAATCAAGAGGTCCCCGGTTCGAGTCCTGACATGCCACCGATCGTGTGCCGTTGGGAAAGGCACTTTACACGACTTTCCTCACTTCGCTCGAAAGTAAAAATGAGTATTTCCTGTGCTGTATTTGTACTCTGTGTTGGTGGCGGCATAAAATAAGTTTGATAACTTGTGTGCCGTCGCCGTGTTTGGTCAAGAAATGTTGGAATTAAAAAAAATGCATATTTTTCAGCGAGTTTGACGCGTCCCAGAATGACCGCCGCTGGAAGGTAAAATGCTGCAGGACCGAGAAGAGTATCATCTACAACTGCCAGTTTGAAGCGCCCCCTTACTGTTAACTGTTGAACTGTATATTTGTGTGTGGGGTCGTGTGGCGTTGCGGCAGAGTGCTCGACTCGGAACCAAGAGGTCCCGGGTTCGAGTCCTGACATGCCACCGATCGTGTGCCGTTGGGAAAGGCACTTTACACGACTTTCCTCACTTCGCTCAAGTGAAAATGAGTATTGTCCTGTCCTGTATTTGTACTACTCTGTGTTGGTGGCGGTATAAAAAAAGGTTGATAACTTGTGTATCGTCGCCATGTTTGGTGAGTTTGACGCGGCCCAGAATGACCGCCGCTGGGAGGTGAAATGCTGTCCAACTGAGAGAAGTACCCTCTACAACTGCCAGTGTGAAGCGCCTCCTTACTGTAAACTGTTGAACTACATCTATTTGACAGTGGCGATCCCTTGCTGTTGTTTTATGAGCTGTGTTACAGTGGAGGTAGGGTTCATAGGCGCTACCAACTGACCCGGCCGACAGGTCTAGACCTTATTTTAGCCGAGTGGTTTGAACGTTGGAGTTTGAAGCTGGTGCTCGGGAGGTCCTGGGTTCAAACCCCGACCCGGGACCAGCAGGGGTTTTATCTGTTTCTACCCGCCCCTACTGTTTCTTACAGTTGAATATTTTACAGCGAGTTTGACGCGTCCCAGAATGACCGCCGCTGGAAGGTGAAATGCTGCAGAACCGAGAAGAGTATCAGAGTAAGACTACCCTCTACAACTGCCAGTCTGAAGCGCCCCCTTGCCACTAACTGTTGAACTACATCTATTTTGCAGTGTCGACCCCTTGCTGTGTAAAATCATTCTTTATTCACAAATAAAAGAAAGAAACATTGGACCCAGGTCACGTCGATCATAACTGACTGAACATGCAGGGAGACATTAGACATATATCACTATACAATACATCAGGACATACAACATTGCACAGTTTCCTTAAATATTGCACAGTTTTCATTAAATTATCACAAGAATTTTTTTTATGAACTGCCCATTTTACAGCGAGTTTGACTCTGCCCAGAATGACCGCCGCTGGAAGATAAAATGCTGTCGAACCGAGAAGAGTATCTTGTACAACTGCCAGAACAGCCTTCCAGCCAACACGCTGACGGAGGACCTCAAGTTCACGGTCTTCGGGAACTACTTTCTGCGCGGAGTGCTCGCAACCTTCAAGCGGAATGTGAGGAGGGGAGAAATGTAAGTGATGAGGCCGTTGGCATTACCATGTTCATGGAAGTCCGTTAGGCCATGTTGATTTGATTATATGGATGACATCCTCCGGGAGCCCCAAAACTGATGCGCGCGTGCGAATAAAAAAAGTTTTGCAAAAAAAAAGTTCTTTTCATTCTGAAATTTACGTGGTCATGAGGGTTGAGCAAATGGCACAGAATATGGTTTGGCGAATAATCTAGTCTTCAAGTTCATTTCTTTACAATTTCAACTTTCTTCGTTTGATTTTGGCATTCTACGACATTGGTATAGTTTTTATTAATTTTTTTTGTAACTTACGGTATATTTTTGCTCATTTTGCAACTGTTTTGTACGATTTACAGTATGGTTGAAACTTTTTTTTTTTTTGGAAACGGCCGAAAATTCATGCGCGCGCGGATGTCATCTATATAATCAAATCAACATGGCCTTACTGACAAACACTGGATAAATGTCGTTGTATCCAGATCATTGCTTTATCCAGAGTCATGCTCAGATATGATTCTGGATAGTTAACGTGCATCCAGAATCTCGGAGACTATCAAGAACCGTGCCTTTGGCAAATCTATACGTTCTATACGCAGAGACTATCCAGACCTGTACTTACTTATAAACCTGCATTTCTCCTCTGGTCTCTCAGTCACTGACGAAAGCTAGTGGATACTACCTGAAACGTCTGACCGTTTCCAAAATCATAATTTATCCAGTTGCTTGAGTAACTGCTTTTTGGCGTATCCAGACCTGTTTCTGATCCAACCCTAGCCCATTCAGGAACAGACATAGGCACAATACATACATATATTATACGACATTTGGCTGACCAATTGTTGATTGATTGATTGATTGTGTGATTGATTGATTGACTGATCGATCGATCTATTGATTGATTGTGTGATTGATTAATTGGTGATTCAATGTTTGATGATTGATTAGTGATTGATCAATTGGTTGATTGGTTGTCTGATTGTCTGATTGATTGATTGATTGCTCGATTGATTGATTTATTCATTGATTGATTGATTGATCGATTGATCGATTGATTGATTTGTTGATTGATTGATTCATTGATTCATTGATTGATTCATTGATTGATTCATTGATTGATTTCAGAGACCGCCGTTTCCAGTTCGTTACTTGCAGAATGACGTCAGAGAAGTCGAACTGAGAGGACGGACACGCGTCATCTCCAAGCAGATGTGGGGTCCTCCGCCTTGATTCATCTCTGACCTGACCTAACTAGCCTGGATACCATTCTCCGTAGTTTAAACCAGCGGAAACTAATGAGGATGGCACCAGGCTATGACCCAACCCGTGAGAAAAACACGAATATCGGTTGTTGACCCTATGGCAACGCGTTGGAAGTGGACTTGAGCTAAAAAAAAATCTCCAACCTAACACAGAATGACTTTATCAATTATATCAAGCCTAACAAACACACACACACACACACACA